GTACACACATATTGATAGATGTCTTGTAATGCACTGTTGAGGAACCTGTGACCCAAGTGTTTCATTCATTGCATAACTACACCGTAGTTGTGTATATGATATGTCAATAAACCTTTGAAAATCTTGAAAGGGATGTGCAAAATAGCCATAATATACAGTCTTTAATTAACTATTAGTAGAGAATAACGAGTAATGAATATACTTTATTACTCGTTTCCATTCATGTCAATTGCAGATACATGTTTAGTCTTCTCAAGCACCAACTATCAAATATCTCTCCTGATTGTTGGCACTTGACAATCACCTTACTTGAATTTTACTCAGGTGTAACTAAAGTCTGATTTAAGGGTTGTTTATATTTCACATAATTAATCAGAATCTGCAAAGTAACTCAAATAAAGGCAGTGAAGTAAAAATACCAGGTTAACCTCTGAATTGTAATGGAGTAGAATTACAAAGTAACAATGAGCTGTCATGTGGGTATATATAGCGATTTTCACCCATTTATTAATTATAATAAATAATATATAATAGTTTTACATTTGATAACGCCAATGTGTTTAATACTGGAAACTTCTAATTGTGGGAAAAACGAAAACGTTCAGTAGAGACGTCCCATAGAACATTTGGCGAAACACAATAGCCAGCATCCAGCATGTGTAGTTCTGGGGGGGGCGTTCAATTCCAGTTTTGGATAGTCTGGCGTGGTTTCGTTCCATTTCACACAGCTGTTTGACGCTCTGCGTAACCTTACGGGGGACTGTAGTCCTAAACGATAGCTGGGGATTATGGGTAGTGTAGTGTCTTCGGCCATCCTAAACTCAGAAAGGTTGACAATCGCAATGACGCTCGAAATGTCCCTTATAGGCCTACGTCTGTTTCCGGATATTTTATTTTGAAATTCAGTCCCTGACGGACGCCAAAAAAGCCCGAGATTATGGAATTAAACCAATCAATAAAAGCAAGGATAATTGTGTGTTATTGGTGAGTAAATAACAGTGTGTTATTTTGAAAATAATAACAAATTAGAAGGAAACAAATATTTTAAAAATACAGATTTCAGTATTCTGAGGCTCTGAGCCCCATTTATTTTCCTCACAGATGGCAACAAAAGTCCGAAATTATACGATTTAAAATAAAAGCAATAATTGTGGCTTGATATTGAGTAAGAACATGTTTTTATGAACCACACGGCTTCAGGTCTTCCTCGACCCGACCGGAGAAAAAGACGTGCTGCAAGCAATAGAAATACATTGCTTTTAAAATCGTGCTGTGCAACACGAAAAAAAGGGGCAAATCGTGTTGGGGAACACGAATCAATAGATAACAAATCGTGTTGGTGAACACGAAATGCCGTGAGACTGGGTTGCACAACGACATGCTGACTGCAGTGGAATTTTAACCTGTGATCCCCTGATCCGAAAACCAACGCACAACCCACTGCCGCACACACCTACCTCAGTTCTCTAGTTCAGCAGGATAATCTCCACATAATTCAATTCAATTCAATTCAAAACCTTTATTTATCCCGGTGAAATCCCATTGAGATCAATGATCTCTTTTTCAAGGGAGACCTGCAGCAGTAGGTTCCACATGAAGACATAAAAACATAAACAACAGAACAACAAAAGGACATCATACAGCAAAATGTACAGGGATTACAATTTACATATCTATCCACATGTACAGGTACCAACAACATCTGATTGTGTAGCATCCAACCAAGCTTTAAAAGCATGATAACATCACTTTATGATTTCTGAAGTAAAAAGCTAACGTTAGACTATAAAGGAACTACAGCACTGTCACATGACTTCACGTCACCACCGCTGAGCTAAAGGTGGCTAATGTTGGGCTATAAAGGAACTAAAGCACTGTCACATTACTTCACGTCACCACCGCTGAGCTAAAGGCGGCTAATGTTGGGCTATAAAAGAACTACACCACAGTCACATGGCTTCACATCACCATCGCTAAGCTAAAGGTGGCTAATGTTGGGTCATAAAGGAACTACAGCACGGTCACATGACTTCGCGTCACCACCGCTAAGCTAAAGGTGGCTAATGCTGGGCTGTAAAGGAACTACAGCACGGTCACATTAATTCACGTCACCACGCTAAGCTAAAGGTGGCTAATGCTGGGCTGTAAAGGAACTACAGCACGGTCACATGACTTAAGGTCACCACCGCTAAGCTAAAGGTGGCTAATGTTGGGCTATAAAGGAACTACAGCACGGTCACATGACTTCACGTCACCACCGCTAAGCTAAAGGCGGTTAATGTTGGGCCATAAAGGAACTACAGCACAGTGACATGACTTCATGTCACCACCGCTAAGCTAAAGGCGGCTAATGTTGGGCTGTAAAGGAACTACAGCACGGTCACATGACTTCACGTCGCCACCGCTAAGCTAAAGTGGCTAATGTTGGGCCGTAAAGGAACTACATCACGGTCACATGACTTCACATCACCACCCCTAAGCTAAAGGCGGTTAATGTTGGGCTATAAAGGAACTACAGCACAGTCACATGACTTCACGTCACTACCGCTAAGCTAAAGGTGGCTAATGTTGGGCTATAAAGGAACTACAGCACAGTCACATGACTTCACGTCACCACCACTAAGCTAAAGGTGGCTAATGTTGGGCCATGAAGGAACTACAGCACGGTCACATGATTTAACGTCACCACAGCTAAGCTAAAGGTGGCTAATGTTGGGCTATAAAGGAACTACAGCACGGTCACATGACTTCACGTCACCACCGCTGAGCTAAAGGTGGCTAATGTTGGGCTATAAAGGAACTACAGCACGGTCACATGGCTTCACGTCACCATCGCTAAGCTAAAGGCGGTTAATGTTGGGCCGTAAAGGAACTACAGCACAGTCACATGACTTCACGTCACCACCGCTAAGCTAAAGGTGGCTAATGTTGGGCTGTAAAGGAACTACAGCACGGTCACATGACTTCACGTCGCCACCGCTAAGCTAAATGTGGCTAATGTTGGGCTATAAAGGAACTACAGCACGGTCACATGTAGGGATGCACGATATTGGTTTTTTGAAACCGATACCGATACCGATAACTTCCTGCTTCCTGCTTCTCAAGACCGATACCGATAACCGATAATACAAAAAAATGTACGCCACTAATAATTTTAACGCGATTAACGCATGTGTATTTGTTTTCCTTGGCCGCCCGTAGTTTCAGAGCGCATCGAGTTTAAAATACCACCTACAAGCTGATGCTGACAGCCCCGCTGCTGCCGCCCGCTTGTGGCAGACCACTTCCACGCTCACCGGCAGGCACCGACCATAGACTCTATGTATAAAGGCACCGACTGGCCATCTGGAGGACCGGGAGGGTGTGTGTATGTGTGGCCCGAGCGAGCGAGAGACCTTACGTGCATTGTTGTTGTTAGCATCTGGTGCTAGCTAGCTGCGCTAACGGATATAAGGAGCTGTTTAAATGAAAACAGAGGAGCGACATTTCGCCACAACTGCGCCGAGCACTTGACTTAATGCAGGAAGCCAGAGAGTGGGACATTGTACGAAAAGTCAGCACACTCAGCACGGATAGTGCGCAACATGATTGCAGCGTCCAGGCAGCTCCGGTTCGAGCCTATGCCTTGAGTTACACATAGCTCCAACGCCCATACCACCGACGACATGTTTGTTTACTGTCCTGGCTTCACGGCCGCACACCATTTACGTCACAGCCAGGCATGAGTTAGGGAGCGCTGGATTTGTGAAGAACTCCCCTCTTCCTAAACCACTAATACCACAGTACTGGCAAAACGGGAGGAGCCGAGTGAAAAACAAGCGCCCCTCATCCCAATCCACCCACACCGCAGTATTTTTTTCTTTTTTTTTACCCAAAAATATATTGTATATTATTGGGGCTATTAATACTGGTATTGGGTTTATCGGGATGACGTCATAATTCCTAATATTGGACCGATAATTATCGGGCCGATAATTATCGTGCATCCCTAGTCACATGGCTTCACGTCACCATCGCTAAGCTAAAGGCGGTTAATGTTGGGCCGTAAAGGAACTACAGCACAGTCACATGACTTCACGTCACCACCGCTAAGCTAAAGGTGGCTAATGTTGGGCCTTAAAGGAACTACATCATGGTCGCATGACTTCACCTCACCACCCCTAAGCTAAAGGTGGCTAATGTTGGGCTATAAAGGAACTACATCACGGTCACATGACTTCACCTCACCACCCCTAAGCTGAAGGTGGCTAATTTTGGGCTATAAAGGAACTACAGCACGGTCACATGACTTCACGTCACCATCGCTTAGCTAAAGGCGGCTAATGTTGGGCCATAAAGGAACTACAGCACAGTCACATGACTTCACCTCACGACCACTAAGCTAAAGGTTGCTAATGTTGGGCCATAAAGGAACTACAGCACAGTCACATGACTTCACGTCACCACCGCTAAGCTAAAGGCGGCTAATGTTGGGCTATAAAGGAACTACAGCACAGTCACATGACTTCACCTCACGACCACTAAGCTAAAGGTGGCTAATGTTGGGCCATAAAGGAACTACAGCACAGTCACATGACTTCACGTCACCACTGCTAAGCTAAAGGCGGCTAATGTTGGGCCATAAAGGAACTACAGCACAGTCACATGACTTCACGTCACCACCGCTAAGCTAAAGGCGGCTAATGTTGGGCTATAATGGAACTACAGCACGGTCACATGACTTCACTTCACCACCGCTAAGCTAAAGGCGGCTAATGTTGGACGTGATGACGTTTAGTCATCTTATTTAGACACTTGTTAGCAACCATGGTTTTTAAATCCACCAGTGGGGTCAATAACATAACAATTGTCAAGGTTATTTCAACATAACTTAATGATCGTACTAAGCATTCATGAATTCCGCCAAACGCATGTTTTTATAATGTATAACAAAAAAACCCTGCTCAATTTATTCTATGAAGATGTGGGTCAGTAACGTTATTATCCTGATTGTTTCCCAGGTGTTGGAGAGAAAGGCACCCAGCTGTCGGGGGGGCAGAAACAGAGGGTGGCCATTGCAAGAGCGCTGGTCAGAAACCCTCGAGTCCTCATCCTGGACGAGGCCACCAGCGCTCTGGACGCAGACAGCGAACACATCGTGAGTGAAAAGCTGCATCAGTCAGATGATAATGTGTGAGAGAGCTGATAATGTGCAGCAGCAGTAAGTGAATGCATCATTGTTCAGAGGCAGTTTAGAACAGCAGTAAGTCCATGAAATGGTTGAAACCTCCCAAGAATTGTTAACACCTTTGTATGTCACTTGTTTTCTCTTTCCATCATTATTATTTTTGTTTATTTACTATTATTTATTTTCTCATCTTCTAAGGTTGGCCATCTTTATTACATTTATGTTTAGCCCTGGAGTGGTACTCTGTCACTGGTTGTCTAATACTTGAAACCTATTCAAGATTGTATTTATACAGCTGGAAAAACTGAAGATGTGGAAGTGACTGAAAGATATATTATACTGTATTATTGTTTGAAGTTCTAAAAAAAGAGCAGCAGTAAGTGAAGGCATCACAATTCAAATGCAAGCAAATGGTATGTTATGTTAGGTCACGTGACAAAAGTCACCAGTAGCTATTTTGCATATGACAGAAGAAGCGTTTGGATCCTAACGAGTTAAAGATCAGTTGGTTTACGTCTCCTCTCTTCAGGTGCAGACGGCTCTGAACAGCATCATGCAGGACCACACGGTGCTGGTGATCGCCCATCGGCTCAGTACGGTGGAGAAGGCGGACAACATCATCGTCATCGAGAGCGGCCGCGTGGCCGAGCAGGGGTCTGTTGGGTTCTTTTGTTTGAAGACCAAGAGTTAGTCTAAAGAAGACCAAGAAGCTTCTCGAAAAGTTCAACAGTATTTATTAAAGGTCCCCTGTTGTACTGTTTTTCATCAATATATCACAGGTCTCAGATATATACAGAACCTGTCCCTGATTGGCTGAAACACCAAAGAGGTCATTGCAGCATTACCCATAATCCCCTCTGTTTCAGCCCTGTTTCCAAAGTGCTGATTCTCTGTCTGTTACTTTAGATGAAAATAAGGAGCCCCTCCCCACGCCCCTCTGAGAGATATGTGGTTAAAAAGAACACAATTAGCGCTTTCACACCGCAGTACTTTTCCCACTTTAGTTCCGATATAGTTCCGAAATGTCGCGTTCACACCAAAAAGAACCGGAACCAAAATTAGTTCATGAGTACCTTTTTACCCCCTTTTCCGTCCCTGTTAGAGAGCAGGTACGTTCGTGGGAGAAAAAGGTTCCTATTTCTAATTGGCTGGGCGGAATGCAAACCACGCCCCGTAAAACTCTCAAAAGGTTTTGTGAAGCCGCCATTTTATTATAAATAGATATAGAAGCTGCTGGGAGTCCCAGCAGCTTCTACTGAAGCCAGTCCCCAACTCCGGGAACTTCCGGCCGGGGATTTTGGGTGGCAATATACGCCGTGAAGTTGTTTGCGGCCTGCCAGTAAACCCAAAGCAGAAGAAGAAGAAGTGACGTCAGCGGCTTCATTTGCCTAATCCTCCCGCAGGGGACTTATTCCGGTGTGAACGCGATCTGTACTTAGTTCATGAGAACTAAAGAGTTCTCATGAACCTTTCTGGGAAAAGTACAGCGGTGTGAAAGCGCCTAATGGTGCTCTAGGAGGAGATTCAGGTGATAAGGTGGGGGGGGGGGGGGGGGGTTGGCTAATGGTTACACAAGACATCGTTATGACATCATAAAGTGGCCAAAATCTGATCAGCTCATTTTCAGACAGGTTTTTATAGAAATGGATCAGGACAAAAAGAGAGAGAATCTTTGTTCCTGAAACTTACATGTTGATGTAGAAGAGACGTGAAGAGACGTGAAGAAGAGGGGACACATGTTGATGTAGAAGAGACATGAAGAAGAGGGGACACATGTTGATGTAGAAGAGATATGAAGAAGAGGATTTTGCATAATACGTGACCTTTAAAATTCCGGCACAATATATTGATTATTTCTCCCAGGTCCCACAGCCGGCTGATGGCCAGCGAGGGGCTTTACTTCAAGCTGGTGCAGCGGCAGGTTCTGGGCATCGACACGGGGGCCGAGGTCCTCAACCCAACGCAGGAGCTCAGCTGGAAATCTGACAGAGGACAGAGGAGGAGGAGGAGGAGGAGGAGGAAGAGCAGCAGCAGCAGCAGCGAGGCGGAGAGAAACATGCGCTACTGAGAATAAAGTGCAGGGTTTAGGGGATTTATGCTAAGGGATTCAAATCGCAAAAAAAGGGAACCAAAATGAGTTCAAGACACAGAGAATCACCAAAAGGAAGACAAAATGATTTTTTAAAAGATGCAATGCTACCACAAAGAGACACGGAATTGTTTTAATTATTTTATTTATTGTACTATTTCAACAATTAGACAGTTTATCCACCCGAAAAACACACACAATTCTTAGAAGTGAGAGGGCAGAAAGTAGAGTTTATACAGAGGAAGCTACAGGACACTGAAAACACTCCCGGATCTTTGTGATTACTGAACACATGGCATTCAGCTATACAATGTACACTTAAGTACAAAAAAGAGGTTCAAAATGACACTAAATCACACAAAGGGACACTACATGATACAGAGAGACACTAATGACTAAAGAAGGGAAACAAAATGAACACAAAGACACTCAAATACAGACAAATAGACACTAAACCGCTCCAAGAGGTGCAAAATGGTCACAATCAGACAGTAAATGAGATATGAAATGAACACAAAGACACATAACCACAGACAAATAGACATAACACTGTTAAGAAATGGAGCAAAATGAGTACAAAGAGGTTTAAAAATGCAACCTTTTATTCAATAATCCACCTATATGTAACGTGTCGTGTCAGAATCATCTGTTAAAACACGCAGAGCAGCTCCATGGAGTTTAAATACAGTTGAATGTATTCCAACATATCAGAGAGGAAATAATACTTGAATAAACGTTATTACTGATATGTTAGCTTCATCATGTTGCTGTTAATGTTCTGTATAAGGTTTGTTTAATTTGTCATTATCGCACTCCAGACTGATCAATGATCCATCTGTTTGTGCTTTCTTGTGTTTTGTTGCAGTAGCAGGTGCTTTGTGTTTATTGTCTGTTTAATTACATGATAATTATTTAAGAAAAATAATGTAATTCCACAAATAAACTGCAAAATCAGGTGCCTTTGATCTATGATGTGTGGTGATGCACGACTGTAGAGATACTTAAAGTAACTCTGAACTGATGTGAATAAAGATATATATTTATTAAACAGTGTAAAGAATGTACTTGGCTTTATGTGTACAAACATGTAAACACTCGTACACTGATAGTATTTCTAAGGTTGTTATGTCTCGCGTCAAACTATTTATTTAAATCCCTTATTATTGTGTGTTTAAAATACATATTGTTTGACGGAAATACCATAATCTTTAACACATTTAATTCCCAAATGAATTCATACATCGTGCTGTACAGACAAAGTACTCAGAGGGGGAAGAAGTACCTGAGTAAAAGTAGAAGTACTCAGATCTTGTACTTAAGTAAAAGTAGAAGTACTTAGATCTTGTACTTAAGTAAAAGTAGAAGTACTCAGATCTTGTACTTAAGTAAAAGTAGAAGTACTCAGATCTTGTACTTAAGTAAAAGTAGAAGTACTCAGATATTGTACTTAAGTAAAAGTAGAAGTACTTAGATCTTGTACTTAAGTAAAAGTAGAAGTACTCAGATATTGTACTTAAGTAAAAGTAGAAGTACTTAGATCTTGTACTTAAGTAAAAGTAGAAGTACTCAGATATTGTACTTAAGTAAAAGTAGAAGTACTTAGATCTTGTACTTGAGTAAAAGTAGAAGTACTCAGATCTTGTACTTGAGTAAAAGTAGAAGTACTCAGATCTTGTACTTAAGTAAAAGTAGAAGTACTCAGATCTTGTACTTAAGTAAAAGTAGAAGTACTTAGATCTTGTATTTAAGTAAAAGTAGAAGTACTTAGATCTTGTACTTAAGTAAAAGTAGAAGTACTTAGATCTTGTACTTAAGTAAAAGTAGAAGTACTTAGATCTTGTACTTAAGTAAAAGTAGAAGTACTTAGATCTTGTACTTAAGTAAAAGTAGAAGTACTCAGATCTTGTACTTAAGTAAAAGTAGAAGTACTCAGATCTTGTACTTGAGTAAAAGTAGAAGTACTCAGATATTGTACTTAAGTAAAAGTAGAAGTACTTAGATCTTGTACTTAAGTAAAAGTAGAAGTACTCAGACATTGTACTTAAGTAAAAGTAGAAGTACTTAGATCTTGTACTTGAGTAAAAGTAGAAGTACTTAGATCTTGTACTTGAGTAAAAGTAGAAGTACTCAGATCTTGTACTTGAGTAAAAGTAGAAGTACTCAGATCTTGTACTTGAGTAAAAGTAGAAGTACTCAGATCTTGTACTTGAGTAAAAGTAGAAGTAAGGCAGATGTATCTTTGTTTGTGCTATGTTGGAGTTGAGACAGTGGAAAGTGTATTTTCAGACATTTAAAAACCATTTCAAGCATAATTGTTGAAGAAGCATGACAAAGAAAACAGAGACAGACGCAGTGTACAGGATGTAATGAGGAAACACATGAGTCATGTGTTTGGAATGAACTCAACCGCATAAACTGATGAAGCTCCACCTACCGCCTGACTCACATGAGAATAACCAGGAAACAGGCTGTTATTCTGCCTCGCTGAGACGACACACACACACACACACACACACACACAAACACACACACACGGACTATAAGATTCAACTTTATACCAAAAACACCTCTTCCACTGAGAGGACGTCCACAGGAGGGAATACTGGAACACCTTCCACTTCAAGCAGCTGCTGAATCCACACGCTGAGAGTTTCACCAGAACAAAGACTCAAAGTGAAAGTAAGTCTCAGGGAACAGGGAGCGGCTGCTGCTGAGTTCACTGCTTCACTCACAAACAACATGGCTTCCAGATTAGAGGAAGATCTCTGCTGTACTGTCTGCCATGACACATTTAAAGATCCTGTGGTCCTGTCCTGCAGCCACAGCTTCTGTAGAGCCTGTCTGCAGACCTGGTGGACGGAGAAAGTCATCAAGGAGTGTCCACTTTGTAAGAGACCTTCAGATTATGAACCTCCCTGTAACCTGGTGTTGAAGAACCTGTGTGAGAGTTTCCTACAGGAGAGAGATCAGAGACCTCCAGAGGCTCTCTGCAGTCTGCACTCTGAGAAACTCAAACTATTCTGTCTGGACCATCAGCAGCCAGTGTGTGTCGTCTGCAGAGATTCAGAGAAACACAGCGACCACAGATTCAGACCCATCGATGAAGCTGCACGACAACACAAGAAGGAGCTTCAGGAAACTCTGCAGCCCTTAAAGGAGAAGTTAGAGACTTTTAAAGAAGTTAAAGTGAAGTTTGCTCAAACAGCAGGACACCTGAAGGTCCAGGCCCGACGCACAGAGAGGCAGATTAAGAAGCAGTTTAAGAAGCTTCACCAGTTTCTAGAAGAGGAAGAGGAGGCCAGGATGGCTGCACTGAGGGAGGAAGAGGAGCAGAAGAGGAGGATGATGAAGGAGAAGATGGAGGCTGTGAGCAGAGAGATAGCAGCTCTTTCACACACAGTCAGAGACACAGAGGAGGAGCTGAGAGCTGAAGACGTCTCCTTCCTGCAAAACTACAAGGCTGCAGTGAAGAGGCTGCAGCGCCCCCTGCTGGAGGATCCAGAGCTGCCCTCAGGAGCTCTGATAGACCAGGCCAAACACCTGGGCAACCTCAGCTTCAACATCTGGAGCAAGATGAAGGACATGGTGTCCTACTCTCCTCTCATCCTGGACCCAAACACTGCTCATCCATACCTCGTACTGTCTGAAGATCTGACCAGTGTGAGACTAGGAGAGAGACAGGAACTTCCTGATAATCCAGAGAGGTTTGATAGTTACTACTGGTCTGTCCTGGGCTCTGAGGGCTTTAACTCAGGGACTCACAGCTGGGAAGTCCAGGTTGGAGACAATAGATGCTGGGCACTGGGTGTGTTTGCAGAGTCTGTCCAGAGGAAGGGAAGTATACTGTCTGGAGTATGGAGAATAGATTATAATGAAGATACATACTCATCATGGCCACCATCCGATCCAGAAACTCCTCTCCTCCTGCAGAAGCAGCTCCAGAGGGTCAGAGTGAGTCTGGACTGGGACAGAGGAAAGCTGTCGTTCTCTGATCCTGACACTAACACACACATACACACCTTCACACACACTTTCACTCAGAGGATGTTTCCATTTATTTGCACTTGGTATGTACGCCCACTTAAGATGTTACCACTGAAGGTCTCTGTGACGGTAGAACAACATGATGATGATGATGATGATGATGATGATGATGATGATGATGATGATGATGATGATGATGATGATGATGATGATGATGATGATGATGACATAGATTGATTTGCTTAATATTTCATACCTTTCTGCTAATTCTTTTTTAAGTGTCTGTTCCTTTCCCCCAAACAGTTTTCAGTGAAGGCTTCTCAGATGGTTGTTAGCCAGGTTAACCATTAAAGAGAGAACTGGAGGATTTCCCAAAAATAGGTCAAACTCTTTCTTTAAAGTTTGGTCAGTAGGCCTGCTGATATATTTATGTGTTTGAGTTGATCAGGGATCAGTCGTATCATTTTGGGTTCGAGTCAGTGTGATTCTGGTGTCATGTTTTTGTAAATAAAATAAATGAAAAAGAAAACACTGAGTATCTTTATTTTGACAAAACGGTTAACAATTGACTTTTTACAGCTGAGGTTAAACCTCAATTAACAAAAATAAAAGTTTTTTCTGGAAATACTTTTCTACTTTTACTTGAGTAACATTTTGAATGAAAGTCTGAGTACTTCTACTTTTACTAAAGTACAAGATCGGAGTACTTCTACTTGTACTCAAGTACAAGATCTGAGTACTTCTACTTTTACTCAAGTACAAGATATGTGTACTTCTACTTTTACTCAAGTACAAGATCTGAGTACTTCTACTATTACTCAAGTACAATATCTGAGTACTTCTACTTTTACTCAAGTACAAGATCTGAGTACTTCTACTTATACTCAAGTACAGGATCTGAGTACTTCTACTTTTACTCAAGTACAAGTTGAACAAATGCGCTGGTAAAGATGGCCGCGTTGTCTTTTGGCTCCTCTCCAATTTTGCCCTTTTTCGTATTTTTTCAGTGTTTACTTTTTGCCGTCTGCTTTTAACATGGTTCGCAACATGCAAGCCGACCACACCAACTCTGCCATTGTAGAGCCGATGAATGGGAGTCAGAGGCGGTGTGTTCAGTATGGAACTCCACACTTTATTATCCATTTAACCAGACAAGGTAAGTACATTTACTGCTACTGCATGTCAAGCTAGCATGAATGACAACAAACCCCGGTACCCTCACTAACGGTTCCGAGTTGCAACACAATAATCCCAACGGTGAATTATGTCTTTATAACGTGTCACCACACAAGCCCCCCCAGAATTCACCCATAAACAAAGTCAGCGTGGCGGGGAGGAACGACAGGTCGACCCCCACGACTCCTGAGCACGGGAGCTGGAAAAACGACCTCTGCATGGGTGGCCTCCGGAAGAGGCGAGACCGGCACAACGAGTCTCAATTCAGTGACAAGGCCGGGGTGCGCCCCCGTCGCGGAGGTCGTGCCAGCACCACCGGCTGGTCCAAATCCAGGTGGGCCGCCTTCAACCGGTCCACCGAGACGTGCTCGGCCTTACCACCCAGGTCGACCACAAAGTGTTTGTCCCCGTGTTCCAAAACCCGGAAAGGTCCATCGTAAGGAGGCTGCAGGGGACCCCTGTGCACATTGTGCCGGATGAAAACGTGCTCCGCCGAGCGGAGATCCGTGGGAACCCGGGACACCTGAGTACCATGTCGAACAGTGGGAATCGGAGCAAAAGTCTCTGCGATAGTGGATCGCCGGAGCAGTAGATTAACATTAACATGCTTATTGTAGTTGTAAGTGCAATGCCTTGCGGCCTGTAGCACCATCCTTGATGGAGCATATGAGAAATATAACCCCGGGAGGAAACCGGGAGAGGGCAGTGAAATCGGGAGTCTCCCGCGAAAATCGGGAGGGTTGGCAAGTATGCGTTCACATCAAGCACGTCAATTTGCGTACACGTAACAGAACTGCGCGTTCATGACAACATGGTAATGATTGTTATTATGATGGATTTTATATTAACGAGGCGGCAGTTAGCAGCTAGCGGCTAGCTAGTCATTATGCTAATGTGCACATCAATCGTTATGGACTTATATTACACTGTAACAGGATCTAGTGATATCCAAGCAACAGAGCTTCATTTAGCATGAAAGAATGATTACACTGTATATATATATACTTATAATAATAAGTAATATTAACTTTATTTAATACAACATTTACGGTACAAGATTTAATCATACAGCCCATGTAGTATGCTAATGAATTATAGCAAACATGTGCAATATATCCATTATTACAGCTCCGTGGGATGGCAGTAAGACGATATGGGTCCGTTCTTAACTCACATTGGTTTCTCAAACAGCATCTCTGTAAACTACGTGTATTGTATTCACTGAATTTCACTCTCTGCCTTTAACGGCTCGTTGTAGCTCCAATAGCTCCAGCCCCCACCCTTCCTGTGAGCACAGTGTGCTGTGATTGGTCGGGACACGTAACATGAACGTGCCGGGCGGCGCGGTCCCGTGGGTTAGATGCGCGTTCATAATGCAGAGGGAAATAACTCTCAGAATAACGTTATTAGCACATTATTACAACTTGAGGAACGAATGTTTTTAATAAGGGCTATACAAGTGTTCATACTGGGTAGTTTATTTAGTTTAAAAAAAAATTATCCAACGATTTACAGACCACTCTTTCCCCATGTAAGTCAATGGGAAAAAGTGTCTCCGGGCCTGGCAACCAAACGGAAGTGTAGTACCGCCGTTTGGCCAGCACGAAAATGTTCATCTGAGTCCGGCGCACTTCCTGGGGGCTTGCGTCCTGCAGGCAAACCCGCTGTGCCGACGCCGACCAGGGAGCCGACGAGTTAGGGAGGAAATCCCTGGAACCCTCAGCGGCTGACCGTACACCATCTCAGCCGTGGAACATTGCAGATCTTTCTTAGGCGCGGTCCGCAGGCCCAGCATTACCCAAGGCAGCTTGTCGACCCAATTATCGTCCTTCAGGCCGGCTCTGAGTGCTGCCTGCATGGAGCAATGGAAACGTTCACAGAGGTCGTTAGCTTGAGGGTGATAAGCGGTTGTCCTGTGAAGCTTAACCCCCAAACCGCACGCCACGGCGTTCCAGAGCTCAGACGTGGACTGCGAACCCCGGTCTGAGGAAATGTCCGACGGGGTGCCAAACTGATATACCCACGTCGCAATGAAAGCCCTATGTCAGTCGCCGACGTCGACATGAGAGGAACCGCCTCCGGCCAACGGGTCGTCCTGTCCACCACGGTGAGGAGGTAGGAAAAACCCTGAGAGGAGGGCAATGGACCCACTAGGTCGATGTTGACGTGGTCTAACCTCCTCTCCGGCACCAGGAAACATTCCAAAGGGGCTTTCGTGGGCGGTGCACCTTAGCGCGCTGACAAGCCACGCACTCACCAGCCACACACTCACCAGCCCAAGTCCTCACGTCCTTTTTTAGCCCCCGCCAGACGAACTTCGCGGCCACCAAGCGCACTGAAGTCTTACCGCCGGGGTGAGACAGGCCGTGCACCGCCTCAAAAACGGAGCGCCTCCAACTGGCGGGAACGACTGGCTTGTTATTATTTTACACCCCGGAAGTAAGTATTCTCTTTACTGTCGACTGATTTTACAGTGATATCTGCACTTCTCATCAACTCAAAAACACCATATTATCCTTAATAATTTAATTACACAACATTGATTGGTTTAAACTGTGTACAGTGCTTTTGTAATTTTCACCTTCGATTCGGAGAAACAAATATTTTTTCTGAGTTTAGGATGGCAGAAGACACTACACTACCCAGAATCCTCAGCTATCGTTTGGGACTACACCATGTGCTTTGCTTGACAAACTCCGTGATTAGTCCTCAAGCTCTGTGATTGGATGTTGGAGTGGCAGTGCGCGGAGTTCAACGTCACGTCCGTTAATACCACATCCACACGCATGCATTAACATTGATTTAATACATTAATGTAGCCTTTGTTTCTGCTAAAATAGGTGTGGACCAGTTGGGGTAACAAGAAAATCGGCGTAATCGAGTGTGACTATTAAACCCGCTTCCACTTCCAGTGATGATAGTTCAGCACAGCCTGAGAGGGTTTTGGGTAGTTATTCACCCTTTCATGCTGATGGGGCTTTATCTGAGACTCTGAAGCCAGCTGCTACACCAAGTGCAGGAGGTTATAGTGGCTCTCATGGAAGGCAAGTAGATGGTTACAGTCCTGAGGGAAGTGTTTCTAGTTACGGGCCAAGCCAACCAATAACTCGTAAGCCAAATCAACTACCTCAAGCTAAGCCTAGTGCAAAATGTGTCCTTCCAAGCAAAGATGCCCTGTGGGCTTTCCCTTTGCCCCATAATCCAAACTCTTTTCAGTCTGGTATTGCTTCAAGTTCTGCACTTGTGATGCACTCTGGTCCCTACTCCAAGCCCCAGCAGCCCAAAAACCTTCCAATGCCCCAGCAGGCCGGCTACAAGCCTAAGCCCCACCAGCCCAAACCTCAACAGCACGCCAACCCTTCAAATCCCTTGCAGTCTAGGTACCGGCCAAAACCCCAGCAGCGTTCCTACCCTTCAAATCCCCTACAGGCCAAGCCTCAGCAGGCTGAACCCCTGCAAGGGGTGCTCCAAAGTAAAGCTGTCATGTGGGACTTTCCTTCTGAAGAAGGTGTTGCTTCTGGCTCTAATGTGCAGGCCAAGCCCTACCAGCCAGTATACCCTTTGAATCCCCAGCGGGCTACCAACCCTTCAAGTCCCCTGCAGTCTAGGTACCGGCCAAAACCCCAGCAGCCTTCCTACCTTTCAAATCCCTTGCAGTCTAGGTACCGGCCAAAACCCCAACAGCGCTCCTACCCTTCAAATCCCTTGCAGTCTAGGTACCAGCCCAAACCCCAGCTTCCTGCCTACCATTCAAATCCTCAGCAGGCCAAGCCCTACCAGCCCGCCTACCCTTCAAACCCTCAGCAGGCCAAGCCCCTGCAATGGGTGCTCCAAAGTAAAGCTGGCATGTGGGACTTTCCTTCCCAAGGAAGTGTTGCTGCTGGCTCTAATGTGCAGCCCACTGACTCAAACTCGCACTTGAATGTTGACCCAAGAAGTTTGAGAGACATTCCAATGCCATTCCCGTACAAGCCCAGGTGGCCGCAGCAACTGGTGCCAAAGTAGAACAGACATCATTGACCTTCCTAACTGTAAGTTGGTTTAACTTAAAGATTGCTACAATGAAGTAAGGGAAATGCTTTGCAAATGTTCTAAATTGTATTTTCTGTTCTCAGGTTCCTGAATTTGCCTGGAAGAAGTCTGAACTGGCATCAACTTTGAATTTAATAAAATACTTGGAACACACTCTCTTTGGATGTTATTTGAAATTTGACTTGTGTGCTGTCGACAGTGATGCACCCTTACATACCTTAGGGATATACGCGTACCCCGTAGGGACATTAACTACCAGTCGCGGTCCGCCAAATGTACAGACATGCAGTTCCGCCCTGGAGCAAAATAAAAATAATCTGG